AGTTATTACGCCCCCCCCCCCTCCAAAAAAACGTTCTTCGAGAAGGATGTCTCAAAAAAGAAAGTAAACTATCCTTAAAATGTCAGAAAATCATCTCTTTCCGTCCCAAAACTACACGAAAAATACCGAAATAAAAATTCCATGAACATATAATCGAAGATAAAGTTGTATCGTCACAAATGTTCATACAGATAGAGTGAACAGGCCAATTGCTGGACAGTTAAGGGAAATTCGAGTTTCGTGGTAGGATGTAAAATAAAAGAATCACCTAAATGGGGATATGATGGCTTCCATACCTTCAACAATGTTTTAATTAGCAGAAAAAAATGATTTGAAGTGAAAATAATAAAATTAAGAAATAGTTGGATGCAGTCGAAACCTCTAATTTTTCGACGACTGGGCCATATTTTTTTTGATTTATTAAATGTCGATCAATAGAAAAAATAATTGATCACATAATTATACACGAGTAATATTGTTGAAAGGTGAAATAATCAGCACAATTTTCATTTTCTTTATGGAATATTCACTGCAAGTTGAAATCGTCCAGAAACTCATCCCCTTCAAGAAATTGACCTGTTTACCTTACTCCACAACAACTCAAATCAAAAGCAAGTTGAAAACAATCATTACTTGAACCTCATAGAATTTGGGCGATACTTTTATGATAGTTAACTATTCAAATCATTAAAATCACATTAACCTAATATTTTCAAAATCCGATTAATCCACCAATTCTAAATTAAAACATGAATAATATAAAAAGTTTCTTAAACAAGTGGGAAATTGCTCTTGTATTGCATATAGTATAGCTATTTTTGCTAATAAATTAGCAATATGCTTCCGAATGGTTATTTTGCACATCATTTCCTTCTATCATGTACAATTCATTGTTGATTTCATTTCGTTAGATTGAATGAGATTTCTTTTCAACTATTTTGTCAAATTTTCAACTTGGTTGAATGTTATCAGCATCATTATTCTTATTATCTCGTTCTTCTATACAACTGATAGTCTCTTTTACGGTTCTATCTCCCCCCTCAGCCCGTCGATAAAATGTTAATGGAAAAATTTTATTTATACGCCTTTGAATGAATTTTAAAAATCACATTTGAAGAAACCGCTAAAAAGCTCACTTTCAAGGAAATTCATGAAAAATTAGAAATTTTCAACAATCATCATAAAAATTAAATCAGCCAATATAGCTGTCGTAATCATCTTCTAACTTCGACTTAATGGTATTAAAACAAACATTTTAAGCTATGACTGAATTCATTTGAAGCATGATATTCAAATATATCCGCGGAATTCTGATTTTCAAAGAATATAACATTTTTACAAATTTTCAAATGAATCAAAATAACGATTATTGCTATCGCCTTCATCTTCGAAGTCGGTTAAAAGGACATCCAAAAAAATTTTCTTAACCATCATTCAATCAATTCAGGACATTTCTTTTTACTTATCGTGGGGCGACCAATTTTCGAAAAAATTCGGAAATTAAAAAAACTAATCGATGAATTAAATTTCCGTTAATGGCGATCGATAGGACTCAATAATACCGCCATTGGAAAAAAAAAGATTCAATTTCATCCATTCATTATTCCATTCGAAAGCAAAAATACTTATTGCAGAGAATATTTACAATGACAAATTTGGATTTTTCTCCAGACATTCCTTTTTCATTCGGAGCAAATTTTTTGGGGCAGTTTCCAATAGTCTTTGATTCCTGCTTTCCTCTACATGGAAAGAAAATTTGAGGAAAAATTACACAACGAAACGCGAAAGTGAGGCGAAATGCTTTTTGGGGATTTTTACGGCGAAACGTGGAAAACATGCGAAAATAAATTTTTACTGTTGAGTTGTAGGAATTTTATGGATTGAAATGTAATTTTTACTCGTTGAAAGGCCATTTTTACTTGATACTTCATAACAATCCGCAGGAAGAACAGTGACTTCAACAAAGCAATATTTATGCGTCACAATATTGTAAAATTCGTGATAATATTGCTTCGCGTAATTAATTACGTTCCATAAAAATACAATTACCAACAAATTAGACGAAAAGTGTAATAAAAATTGAATTTTTATGGTATGATATATCATCAAAATTTAATCAATAAAAGTTGATCCAATTTTTCAGTACTTTCTCATCAAAAACTAACAAAATCCACTGTTCGTCCATGAAAGATACACTAAAAAGTGGAACATTCACCCCTTTTTCCTTGATTCCACAAAAAAATCAAGGAAAATATAAGACTCTCTGAAACATAATTTTGCTCTCTAATTATTTCGATTATTATCCAGTAATTTTTCAATTTTTGCTTCCAACTGGAAGCTTTGTGATGGTTGATTTTGACGATCTTCTAATTTTGCTTGGAAATAATTCTAATACATTCTAATGATATAGAATGAACCATCAAGATATGCTGCTTTTCGAAAATGTGTTTGTATGGCCGTATGTGTGTGCGGATTCTTCGGAAATTGTTCATAAATCTTCACAGGCATGGAGTACAGTCGAAGCTTAGTGTAAAATTTTGTCCCATATTGATATTGTTTGGGAGCATTTCTGTGTGAAATTTCAACTAAATCACTCAATTAGTTTTTGACATGTCGACAATTCCTAATAAAACAAGGGTATTTCATTTTTATTTTTAAAACAAGGGTATCTCAGAATTTTTGAATAAACAAAGGTATCTCAGAATTCCGTATCAAACTAATCTATCTCGATTTTTCAGAGAAAACTCGCCTAACTCAAACGAAATCAGGAAAGAACCTATTTCGTGACCGCTGATTAAAGAGTGTTCAGCCGATTTAATCGACATATTTTGAATTCCCAATATGTTAAGAGATTCATACCAGAGAATTAATAAAATGAATGGGAGGAACGAGTGGAGCGATCCGATTAAGGATTCCACCGGAGAACTGAGTGGGCAGATCATCAATCCAAAATTCATCAATAGGAAAATTGAAATAATTTCCTGAGACGAGTGTAGTTGAGTGATACGCAATCAAAATACGGATAGAGGGGAAAGAAATTGAGAGAGTGAGAGTAGCCAGGACTTATGTGTATAACTATACACGTATGACAAAATCGTATAGGATTTCCTATAGCATATTCTATAGGAGAGCACCCGATGCATAATCGGAAGATCCCGGGTTCAAATCCCGGTCTGGACTATCCATTTTTTTCTGTAAAAATTTTCTGATTATGTAGCTTGAGAATAATCCCGGGTCCCCTCCTACTTCATCCAAATCCCATCCAATCGTTTCCTATGACATCACAGCGATGTGGAACGTTATATAAATTCTCTTCTTTAATATCCTATAGAGAATTCAAATATTTTCTATAGGATTTTCCAAATAGGATTTCTTATAGGATTTCCTGTAGGATTTATTATCAGAGATTTCATATGAGATTTTCACCAGGATTGCCTATAAAATTTAGGGGCATAAAGGTCACAATGAGGGTCAAAAGTGTCATATGGGGATCACGTGGGGATCGTATGGGGTCATATTGGAAGTCATATGATAATCATATCCGAGTCATACGGGTCATGTAAAAGTCATATGGGAGTCATATATGAGTCATATAGATGTCATTTAGGGGTCACGAGGGTCACATGGGGGTTATACAGGAATTATATGAGGGTCATATGAAGGTCATATGAAAGTCATTTGATCCTCATATGACCCCCATATGACTCGTATATGAGCCCCTTATGACTCACATGATCCCCATATGACCACTATATGACCCGCATATGACCTCTGATGACCCTTATACGACTCCCATAAGACCCCTATATGAAGTTTATATGGATTCCCATATGACTTTTTTAACGTCCATTCTGACCCTTATGACCCTCAATTTCATAAGAAATCCTATTCAAAATCTTAGAGGATATCCTATAAGAAATCCTATAATACATCCTGTAAGAAATCCAACAGGAAAAACCTGATAGGAATCCTATCTGAAAAATCCTATAGGAGATGTTCGAATTCTCCATAAGATTTTTTCATACGTGATACGCCTCGTAGGATCAGAATAATTCGAAGGTATCGAAGGGATCTGTTTTCACAGCTTGATCGGCACGTGCCACATGGAATTAATTCTCAAACTTACGTTTCCATGCTTTTGACAGCTGCATGGATTTGTGTTGTAGGCAAGTATCGTGAGGTTTGCAGAATGAGAATTAAATAAAAGAATTGCTGAATTCTCCGCGAATTTTACATAGGGGTGGATGGGGCAAAATGAAACAGCCGAAAACGATTGTTTGACGCCATTCAAGCAAAAAAAATTTTTTTTCAGCCTTTGTTTATGAACTTTTTTTATTATTGGAAGTGCTGATGAGAATCATTTTTTATTCATCTTATAATTCAATGGATTACAATTCAGTATCACATTTTCCTAGTTCCCCCTCTGGGTCTCCCCCTGAGCCATCCTCTGGACCTTGGATTTTGCTGTTTCATTTTCTTTAAAGAAAATGTTCAATTAATCCATTGACAAAATCTTCTTCCATCAAAACTTCTCAATAATTTTCCATTCTACTGAATGGAAAATTATTATTCCAATCAGTACTCCCAATAATAAAAAAAATTAATAAGAAAATTGTTGATATAAATTTTTTTTTTGTTTAAATTGCATCAAACAGTTGTATTTTCGTGTGCTTCATTTTGCCCCACTCGCCCCTATTAAAATGAATACCACTTGCATAGTATTTAATCAGAGTTATTGAGATGAGTTTTTTTTTATTTCGTCTGAGTTAAATGGGTTTTTCCCAGAAAATTGAGATTAAAGGAACCCTTGATGAGAGTCTCCCTGGAGAGCGAAACGTTGGATCATCGACAAAAAATCCTTTATGCCACTCATGCCTGAAACCGGCCGGATTACACACTCGACGCTTCGCGTCTCGTGTCTAATTCAGCCGGTTTCAGGCTTCGTGACATAGAATTTTGTTCAGTACTTGTGGGGAAATTTCGTCCTTAACGTGGGTGGTTACATCACTCGCCTTCGGCTCATGCTGTAAACCCTACACACGTTAAAGACGAAATTGCCCCACACGTGCTGAAATATACTATTTATTAACTTTTTATGAAACCTGTCAAATTGCTGGAGACCGCCTAGGCCAATTTCTCCATCACCATTATTGAATGTTTTATTTTTTCCTCTGTGTCAAACTTCTTTACCCCTTTCTCTTAACAACTCAAAATACTCCACAGGGTAGCAGAGTATGGGTGCAGCACCCGGAGAAGATCTGGGAGGGGGCAGTGCTCCTCGAATCGTTCAAGAACAACGCAACCCTTCGGGTTCGCACAGAAGACTCCAACGAGGAGCGCACCCTCTCCATAAAAGCCGACACCGACCTGCCCCCCCTGCGCAACCCGGATATCCTCATCGGCGAGAACAACCTCACCTCCCTCTCCTTCCTCCACGAGCCGGCAGTCCTCTACAATCTTCAGATCCGTTTCCAGCGTCATTGCATCTACACATACTGCGGTATAGTCCTCGTAGCATTCAATCCATACGACGAATTACCGATCTACGGAAATGACACAATATGGGCGTATCGGGGTCAGGCAATGGGCGATCTGGAGCCTCACATATTCGCTGTTGCCGAGGAGGCATACACAAAACTCGAACGGGAACTGCACGATCAATCAATCATCGTTTCCGGCGAGTCTGGAGCTGGCAAAACTGTTTCCGCAAAATACGCGATGCGGTATTTTGCGACTGTCGGTGGCTCGTCAACTGAAACCCAAATCGAGAAGAAGGTCCTGGCGTCGTCGCCACTGATGGAGGCCTTCGGCAACGCCAAAACAACGAGAAACGACAACTCCTCCCGATTCGGTAAATTCATAGAAATCCAATTCAACAAGAGCTACAACATCTCAGGTGCCAGCATACGAACGTACCTCCTGGAAAAATCACGAGTTGTGTTCCAGGCGAATGACGAGAGAAACTACCACGTGTTCTATCAGCTCTGCGAGGCAGCGCGAGCAAAATATTTCCAGAATCGGTTGAAGGACCTGCACCTGGAGGACGGCACTAGCTTCCACTACTTGAACCAAGGCAATAGCTTCTTCATAGATGGTTTGGACGACTCTGCATGCTTCCAGGACACTCTTGCTGCCCTCTCCCGTCTGGGTTTCGACGCCAAACAGCAGGACGAAGTCTTCAGAATTCTCGCGGCAATCCTGCACCTTGGAAACCTCAAGATCGTCAACAAAGTCGATAAACAGGATAATTCCGGAGGGAACGAGGATACAGAGGCCTGTGATATATCCGCAAAAGACAAACACCTGCTGATTCTCGCTGACCTCATGGGCATCGACCCAAAAGCTATGAGGAAATGGCTGTGTCACAGAAAAATCGTCTCCATGAGAGACATTATCCTCAAGCCAATGAATGCAGAGCAGGCGATTGGCGCCAGGGACGCCCTGGCTAAGCACATCTACGCTGAACTCTTCAACTTCATTGTTCACGGGATCAACGAGTCATTGAGAACAAAAACAAAAGCTGGATGTTTTATCGGGGTCCTTGACATCTACGGATTCGAAACCTTCGAGGTAAACTCCTTCGAACAATTCTGCATAAATTACGCAAATGAGAAACTTCAGCAGCAGTTCAATCAGCATGTCTTCAAGCTCGAGCAGGAGGAGTACCTGAAGGAGGAGATCGAGTGGACGTTCATCGATTTCTACGACAATCAGCCGTGCATCGACCTAATCGAAACGAAATTAGGAATTCTAGATCTGTTGGATGAGGAGTGCAGAATGCCGAGGGGCTCTGATGACTCCTGGGCAGAGAAGCTGTACACAAAGTGCAGCAAATCGAAGCATTTTGAGAAACCGAGGTTTGGAACCAGTGCTTTTCTGATCCATCACTTCGCTGATCTAGTTACCTACGAAACTGGGGGCTTTCTCGATAAAAATCGAGACACTGTCATGGAGGAGCAGATTGACGTTTTGAGATTGAGTGATAACAAGCTGTTGAAGCAACTCTTCACTGAAGACGTTCCAAAATTGTCAGTTCCCAATCAATCCAAAGTGAAAATCTCCACGCAGAAGCCGACGGCCCCTGCGAACCCAAAGCAGAATAAGAAGACTGTTGGGTCTCAGTTTAGGGATTCCCTGAACATGTTGATGTCGACTTTGAACGCCACGACTCCCCATTATGTGCGTTGTATCAAGCCGAATGACTTCAAAGAGTCCTTTGAGTACAACGCAGCCCGCGCGATCCAGCAATTGCGAGCCTGTGGCGTTCTGGAAACCATCAGGATATCAGCAGCTGGTTTTCCAAGTCAGAGAACCTACGGGGAATTCTTCCAGCGGTATCGCTGTCTCTGCCCCTTCAAGAAGATTCGCAGGGATGATTTGAGAGAGACGTGTCGAAGAATCCTGGAGATCTACATCAAGGATGACGATAAATTCAAATTTGGAAGGACGAAGGTTCTGTTCAGAGCTGGACAGGTCGCGTATCTGGAGAAGTTGAGGGGGGAGAAGCAGAGGGACGCTTGTGTGATGATCCAGAAGATAGTTCGAGGGTTTATCCATCGAAATCGTTACAGGAAGATCAGGAGATCGGTTTTAGGTCTTCAAAGGCAGGCGAGAGGGTGCCTAGCGAGGAAGAAGGCGCAGGGAATCAGGCGGGAACGTGCTGCCATCAAGATCCAGAAGACAATACGAGGGTGGTTGGCAAGGTCTCGGTACCAGAGGTTAAAGAGGACTATTATAAAGCTGCAGACTTATGCTAGGGGTTTGTTAGCGAGGAGGAAGTACCAGGGGATGAAGGACAACGCTGCTGCTTTGTTGATCCAGAGGCTGGTCCGAGGTTATCTGGTTCGAAGGGCTTGCAGAAAGAAGATCAAGGATATTATTGTGGTCCAGTGCTGTGTGAGGAAGTACTTGGCTAGGAAGATCTTCCGGAGGTTGAAGGCTGAAGCGAAGAGCGTGGAGCATGTCAAGTCGCTAAATAAGGGGCTGGAGAACAAGATAATATCTCTTCAACACAAGATTCAGGCGATAAACGAGGAGAGCAAGGGACTGAGGGTCTTCCAGGCTGAAGCGATTGAGCTTAAGTCGAAGTTGGAGGGGATGAAGGCTGTGGAGGCTGAGAACAAGCGATTAATCTCGTTGTTGACGGAGAAGGAGAAGGAATTGGAAAGGATGGAGGGTGATATGAAACGGGAGAGGGATGAGAAGATGGATTTGCTGATGGAGAGGGAGAAATTGCTACAGGAGAAGGAGGAGGAGAAGAGGATGCTGGCTGAGGAGTCTGCCAAGTTGAGGAGGGAGTTGTCGTTTGCACATGAGAAGCTGAAGGTCAATCAGAGGGGGGCAGAGGAGAATCTGAAGAATAGGCTGGAGCAAGAGAAGGATCTATTGATGATGGAGCAGGATCAGGATCGGGGGGCTTATCAGAGGCTTTTGAAGGATTATCAGGAGCTGGAGGAGCAGTTCGAGGCGATGCAGAGGAAGTTTATGCATCAGATTCCTGGGCACTCGAGGTCTTTGAGTAATGCCTCGAGTGGGAGTGCTGGGGGACAGGCTGTATCGACTGATCTGGCGCCTGATGATCAGAATATTGATTTTGGCTATGGGTCGGTTAGGTCTACTATCTCGTCGTCTACGCCGTATTCCAGGGTGGAGACGATTGACTGGAGTCAGAGGCGGTCTGAGAGCCCACCAGATGGGGAGGCCCAGCCTGTTAAGTCACCGCCTGAGGTCAATGGAACTCTGCAACCTCCGCCTGTAGACATTGGCTTGGTTCTTAAGTTACAGCAGAAGCTGAAGGATGTCGAGAGCGCTAATGGGAGACTGGTGAGGATGGTGGAGGATCTAGAGAGGGATAGCCCGGAGGAATCTTCCAGGACGCAAGATACGTTCAGGGTGAGATTCATGGGATTTTTTTGGACCTCTTTAGTGAATTTATGAGGCTAACTCAGGGATGGCCATCAATATTATATTTCTTCAATATTAAAAAGATTTGCGACTTATATTGATAAATGTTTAAATATACTCATCAAAATGAAAAAATAATATAATATTAATAGTTTAAATTACCGATTGATGATGAATTAAATATTTGACAATATAGAGCAGTAAATCTTCCATTAAATGAATATTTCTAATTTCTTAAAAAGGATTATCGTTTAACCAAATAGTCGGCAATCTTCCTACCTAAATTATTGATTACACAAATAGTTCAAAATTTGAATATTTAAATTGATGATTACGTGAATAATTAAAAGTTTAAGAGTGATGTTAACTAATTGACGGCTTCAAATAAAAAAAGATTCATGAATATGGCTATCCCTGGTCCAATTTAGGTTCCAGTGCGATTTTTTGAATAATATCTTTGAATATAAAGTAAATAGTCAAACTTGTATCGGATTTTTTTAGAGATGGAAATGAGATTTAAAGAAAATGTCTCATTAAGGTTGCTATCTTATTTGAAATTTGAAATATTTTTATAAAAATTCACGTCTAAAATTCAGATAGTAAAATTGAACCTGACATTTTTTACGAAAAATTTTACTTTTTCCATGAAATTTCGGACAATCTCGTCTCGAAAAAATCGGAATTTGACAAGAAAATCAATGTAAATCTCAGTTCAATTACTCAGTGAAAATGAATAACAATCAGGTGAAAATTTAGACGAATATGTTTTTCAATTTTCAATTATTTAAAAATTCAGCGTAATCTGAATACCAAATATTTATGTTCAATCGGAAATTCAAGTAAATTCTGGAATACTCGTCTTATTTCTCTTTGAAACTATTTAAGGTATATCCCAAGACAATACCACTCAAAATTTAATCTCTATGGATTTCCGGAAAAAATGCAACATGGCTTAATTTATGGCATTTTCATAAATTATCGAGTTTTTTATCCTGATATGTTGTTGATGAAGGCAACAATGACTGTTTGAATGAAATAAAAAATTATTTGTTAATTAATTGTTTGAATCAAATAAGAAATGATTTCACGAAATTTCCATTTTTTAAAGTTGAATACTACAGAAACAATGTACTATAAAGTTTCATAAAAATTCAGATTAGAATTACAAAATATCCGGAATTTATCAATCTACTACGAATTCATTTGTTAAGAAGCCCGCATTTCATTATTTATCATCTCCTAAATTGTACAGTATAGCTATAATTAGAATTTTTGTCAATAGCTGGAGAATATTATAAACATTATCCATGAAAAACATGGGGACAATCGTAAGAAAAACCTATTTTCTACAGATATGCTTTAAGTTCATCAGAATTTTGTCTGAAGCTATAAATTTAATGTCTTTTCCCCCAAATCAAATCCAAATCACTCGACTCAATGTCCCTTTTGAAAATCATTCCTAGGGCATCCATGAAATTTCAATTATTCTCTAACAGTGTTTAGATAATGAATAATTCTATTCGTTATCAACCAAAGAAAATAGATAATAATTCATGATTCCGTTTTTCCTCCATTAGTTGGAAGAACTTGAAATGGAAAATGCTCAACTGAAGAAAGATCTGAATTCTCTGAGACGAACTGTTGCCGAGGCTGATACACCAGCCGTTCAAAAGCACCTGATGGGTAATTAATTTTTTTCCTCGAGAAAAATCAATTTCCACACTCGTCTCAACTCAATATCTTTTGTTTTTAGGACAATTCGAGGCACTGCAGGAGGAACTAGAGAGGCGAAGGGAGGAGTGCATTCAACTCCACAGTGTTTTAGCTGATCACACGAGAAGAATGAAGAGCCTTGGCTCCAACTATGGCAGAGACGTAGACATAATAAACGAGGATGGTGAACTGGTTCTGGCATTCGAAGCGCAGAAGAAAATAAATCGACAATTGGAGGACGAGTTGCAGGCAAAGGAAAAAGGCTGGCGCTCGCAGAGGGACGAGTGGAGAAATGAAATTGATCGTTTGCAGGAGGAAATACAGAAGCAGCAGAAATTATTGTCGGTGAATCTAAGTAAAACACCGCAGACACAGACTGAGGCATTTATGCAGCATGAAATAGCACGGCTTACATCAGAGAACTTGGTGAGTTTTTAAATTCAAGGGAGTTGAATTACTATAATTGAGGGATAACATTAAATTTTCATTCAACTCTGTAAATTATTTTCCCAGGATCTGCAGGAGAGGTACGATAAAATTGCGGAGGAGAATCATAAGTTGAAGAAGAAGTGTAGAATACTTGCTAAGCGACTTAGAGATGCTGGATGTAAGTATCCCATGTATTTTTCATTAGTTATTTGGAAAAACATGGAGAAATTTTAAAGTGAGAAATTGGAAATCAACAGTAAAGTGGTGAAACGTAACAAGTTGGTTCTCTATGAATCTGGTACATACTTTCGGTCCTAAATGATTACGTCCAATTACATATTTCATTAAAAAAAATCCCTCATCCAAAGTACTAAACGCGATGGCAGATTTTTTTTGTACGATGGCATATCATGGCCATTTCATTTGATTAAAAAAAACCTTCAAAGTATTAAATACCCAATTGATTCAATGTTTTACTACAATGACGAATATTGAATATGCCACCAGTAAACACATATAAATGTATTATACGTTGTTAATTTTTTTAATTTATTGTATTTTTCTTCATTTGGTGGGATGAATAGTGCTGATGGACAAAAAAAATTTAACGAAAACTTTTATTTGAGGAATAACAATTAAACGAAGAGTACAGGATCCATTCTCAATACCACCTTGAATGAGTAATTTTAATAAAATGTCAACCGATTTTTCGTTGGAAATTTTTCTTGACATTTCATTATAAATTCACAAATTTCTAAGAATTCACGTTTCACTACTTCACTGAGAAACCTTTGAGGATGATATCGCGTTTGGTATTACAATATTTAAATTTACGCAATCAAAGACGAGGAAAATGATACGAAGGATTTGGCAGAGCCACCGAAACCCCGTGCATATATGATCACGGGACCCGGTGAGTTTAATGGTGTGTAAAGTCGATGTAATAATCATCGTCATCAAAACATCATCATCACAGAGAGATACCGTCATTAGGCCTAGATGCTGTCATTTCGGTATCTAAAATAGTTTCATTAATGAGACGAGCGAAAGGAAGTGGCTGAGAGAAATTTCTCGAGAGATCTTCTCATAGATAATTTCATAATCTACAGTAAACATCTCTTGACATTTCCCTCTCGAGTCATTAGTTTCAGGGATCTTTACAAAACTAACTATACGATCAACTTATTATCAAAGTGGAAAAACAATAGGAAAGAGTTGGGGAATGCTAACATTCCTGACCTCGTTGAAAATGTCAATAGCAAATGCGTTTTTTTTACTTTGTACGAATTACACTAAATTGATGGATTTATGTTAGAGTTATGAATATTCTTGGGGATTCAAACATTCATTTTGCCATACTTTCCCCCAGGTCATTTAAGGATATTTATCCAGACGCGCAAGCTCTCAAATTTTTTCTTTTCAATTTATGGACAAAGTTATTTCTATCATATTGATAAAAATTTTAATCCATCAACCCGAGTTGATTGATGAATTATCAATTTGAAAATGAATTCCATGAGAGCTTATACATAAGGAGAAGGTGAATTCGCTAGAAAATTATATTAGATTTCTGTTGAGTTTTCTATAAGTTTCTGGCCGTTGCATTAAAAAATTCTGCTACTTACATGCGCGTTTTTTCTTCGATATAAATGTTCAGTGGAAAATATTCCGTAGAAATGATTAATAGAATTTGATTTTCCCATACAATTAATTCTCATTAGGACGTTTTCTATAGAAATTCCTCAGCTCAAATTTTCAGTTTTTTTTGTTTGATTTTTCAAGTGAAATGACGAATTGAATGATAAAATTAGGAAAATTCATATCGAGCAATTCCTATGGAAAATGCGTAACAGAAAAAGTTGTATAGAAAACGGAATTTTACAGTTTCTTCTATAAAATAGTCTCTATTGGACTTTTTCCATAAGAGAAAGCTGCAACCAAGCCGTGGAATTCGTCAATAGAATCGTCCATAAATTAATGGGATTTTCAATAGAAATTCAATAGAATTTTGTATCCAATTCGCTAGGTTCTTCTGCGAAATTTTCTCATGCGTGTAGTTTCACATGTTTCTATATAAGTCTAAAAAACTACAGAATTTTCCTCGAACATGAAAAAGTTAGATTTTCGCGAACAGGATAAACATCCTTATCTCAGCATTGGAATGAGATTTTGAGAAGTCTTCACATTTAACAAGAAAAAAAATCCAGTGAGATTATCTCAGTGATCCCTTTTGGCCGCCAACTCTGCAGGGAAATTTTTTTTCCGAAATTTCTTTTTCTCCGTAAATTTCAAAACAGTCATAAAAAATGAAAGTCTCAGGGAAATTGTTTCATCTCGTTTCATCGCTCTCCCCCGCCCCACAATTAATTAAATCTCTCTTTATGCAGTACCAGACAGCGTGGAAGTTCCCACGGATCAATCAACAGTCACCACACAATCCTCCACTTCGAACGGGGCTATAATGCCAGCAATTCGCAAGAAGGAACGCGACTACGAGGGAATGTTCGAGTTCAAGAAGGAAGACATCACAATAGTAATTCGTCATCTCGTAATAGAATTAAAACCGAAAGTAGCTGTTACTCTCCTCCCCGGACTTCCTGCCTACATTCTCTTCATGTGCATACGTCACACAGACTGCATAAACGACGACGACAAAGTGAGAACACTGCTCACCGGTTACCTCAATGCTGTGAAAAAAGTGATAAAGAAGAGAGAGGACTTTGACTCTTCGGTTCTCTGGTTGAGCAATACCCTGAGATTGCTGCATAATATGAAGCAGTACTCTGGGGACAAGCCTTTCCAGATTGAAAACACACCAAGACAGAATGCCCAGTGTTTACGTAATTTCGATCTGAGTGAATACAGGGTTGTGCTGAGTAATGTGGCCCTGTGGATATTCAACAACATAATGACACTGCTGAAGGAGAGGATTCAGGCGTTGACAGTTCCTGCATTATTGGAGCATGAAGCCATCACTGGCCTCAACTCCAATAAACGAGGATTGGCAAGATCATGCTCCATGGGAGAGGAACCAGAATCCACGCAAAAGAAGCTGGACAAGCTCCTGAACGAGCTCTCTGCTGTCCACAAGGCTCTACAGTACCATGGGGTTGACCCTGAAATCATTGCCCAATTGTTCAAGCAGTTGTTCTACTTCATGTGCGCCAGTGCCCTAAATAATCTCCTGCTGAGGAACGAGTTGTGTCATTGGACCAAAGGAATGCAGATCAGGTATAACATGAGTCATCTTGAGCAGTGGGCCAGGGATCAGAATCTACCCACTGCTGCTGAGGCCCTGCAACCTATCATCCAAGCTGCACAACTCCTTCAAGCTCGGAAAACTGATGAAGATGTTAATTCTGTCTGTGAAATGTGTAATAAACTGTCGGCTAATCAGATTGTTAAGATACTCAATCTCTATACTCCTGCTGATGACTTCGAGACGAGGGTTCCTGTTAGTTTCATCAAGAAGGTGCAGGCCAACCTGGAACTAAGGAAGGAGAACAACGAACAGGTAAATTATCTGTTTTTTTCCGCTTCCAAATGGAATCATTGTAATCGTTCAAATTTAAGTTTTGGATTTTTTGTGTTTTATCGATTCATTATAATCCAAAAAGTCCGAAAATGCAATTTTTAGACCGTGTCCCTACGTATATATGTGCGTACGTTTGTAAATAAATTTTTCTTCGATTGTTCACAAATGAATCGATGCCCCATCAATCGCCATTAATTAAAAATTAATTCAATTATTAATTTTGAAAATTTTTAAAAAATTTCAAAAATTGTTTTTCTCACGATAATTAAAAAAAAATGTTCTGAATTGATTCAATGATGGCTTAAAAAATGTTTTTGGATGTCCCTTCGACTGAGTTCGAAGATGAAAGCGATAGTAATAATCGTTATTTTTATTTATTTAAAGATTTGCAAAAATTCCGGTTTTTTTTTTGAAAATCAGAATTGTCGGGATATCTTTGGATATCATGCTTTAAATGAATTCAATCATAGCTTAAAATGTTTGTTGTAATACTATTAAGTCGAAGTTGAAAGGTGATTACAATAGCTATATTGGTTAATTTAATTTTTATGATGATTGTTGAACATTTCGAATTTTTCATGAATTTCCTTGAAAATGAGCTTTCTGATAGTTTCTTCAAATGTAATGTTTGAAATTCATTCAATTATGTATGAATAACATTTTTCTATCAACATTTTATCGAAGGGCTGAGGGGAGAGATGGAACTGTAAAAGAAGACAATTGGTTGTATAGAAGAAAGGGATAATAAGAATCAGTAAAAATCAGCCATTGTCACTAATTTTCAAACATTACTCTGAAAATTAATGACGATGTCACTGGAAATTAATGATAATGTCACTGAAAATTAGTCACAAAATCACTGAATTTCAGAATTTTTCACTCATTGAATTTCACAATCTCGAATCCCCAATAATTGAGGATAAATTCCTGGAAATGAGTGACATGTCCCTGATAATCAAAAACTTTTCTTCTCTATGACAATAAAAGCTATACGAATCGGAAAACAGACGGGTACAAAGTATTGGACAGCATGCAATTACCATGTTTTTCTTATTGGAACCAGCAGTTGTAGTCGGATATCAGAGCTCTCATTCAAGTTCAATTTAGAATTAGATTTCCAGCCACTTCTGTATTATTTTATTGTTGCAATTTTTCGAAGTCTGTTTTCGAAGTCTGTTTTGATTAAAGTTGTTTTTTAACTGAAATATTTTTTATTGAACATTTCTGTTAAAAAATTCCGCAGAACGACTGCAATTTTTCAATATAAAATTGCCGACAACTTCGTAAAATTCTCTAGCAAAGACGTTACGTTCTATACGTTTTTTTCGTACGTGATTTTCAATTTTAAACCGTTAGAAAACATTTGAAAAACTATAGAAATTCACATCGACAAATTCATATAGATCTTACAAAGATGAAAATTTTCAAATTTAGTTGTTCAATCATGTTTTTTTTGTTTGCAGCTGCTGATGGACCTAAAATTCTCATATCCCGTGAGATTCCCCTTCAACCCATCAAACATTCGACTGGAAGACATCGAAGTGCCCGAGGTTCTCAATCTACCGATGCTCAAGAAGGTCTAGATGAATTAATTTTGTTTTTTTTTTCTAATGAGTAAACAGAAAGCCTAAAGTATTCCAAAGTCCCTGACGATGAATTGCCCATTTTTTGTACAGTCCTGTGTTCCCTAAAATTTATTTATTACTTTAATTCTTCATTGAATGGTGATAATCATAAACAGAATTGTTGTTTCTGTTGTTCTTTTCTATTAATAGAAAATTTTGTTTTTATTTGAATTGAAGAGTGAAGTAGATTCAATGTGATTAAGCGATATTAGGTGCGATTTGTATAGTTTACAAATCGTCGAAACAATAAATTGAGCGACCAATTGCAGAGATAATGAACTATTAAGATGAATTAGGCGATTAGTCGTTGGCATTGCATTATATACATGATGATATAGCGATGCACATTCCATTACCCAATCAATATTTGTATTTTTTTTCTCCATTTTCATGCAACGCTGTAACTCCCTTAGGACTAGTTTGCCTCAGGGGATGCCTATTCGAGTGATGGGAAAATCCATTAATTACATCGTGTGTAATTAATTGTACAATATAATCAGTGGGATGAAAATCTCATCGAGTGGAAAATTGTTATCGTGCAATGTTTAAGATTGGCCACTGGAGATGGAATTATTTTGTTATATTATACAAGAGCGATTGTGGCCGGAAGAATAAATATAATCGACAAAATTATGAGATGTTGGATCGTGAGAGAGATTTATGATGTTAATGTTATCAACTGAGAGTGTATAAGTCAACGAGAATGAACCGAATGTTGTGCCATTTACAATTATACATAATATAAATTATATTATTTCATTTGAGAGATCAATTTGTCATTTGCATTACGTGCTCTCCTGGCTTTTCATAGTCGCCTAATAGAGTTTATTTCCAACGATGCACCTAGGTGATTACTGTGACATTTCCTGGATGTAAAATAATTTTTTTGTTCACCCGAAACATGAAAAATAAATTATTAAATCGTTATCACGGATAATGCGTGTCAATTATTTTTATTGAAAAATTACACGGTTTCTACTAAATTTGGACGTATTCGACTTCGAAAACAAAATTGACCCCATCTTATAAATATTTTAATGCTGATTTTTAATTTCTTATGGGAAATTTTTCTAGCGCGTTTGGTTTTCGAGAAAAGAAATGTTGAAATGTTGAAAAATGGCTAAAAAAATTATGTTGAACATAGTTTTTCCCAGTAAAACACTATGAATTAATGAAAATGCGATTTGTTTAGTTTTTTAGATTTTAGATTCGATTTTATCCCAATGGGTTAAGTCGAAACAAGTGCAAAAAATCCTGAAAAAATTCAAATTTCATGATTTTTCTTGCTAAATCAAAAAATCGGAAGTTGGTTGCCCACACTTTGATGCATGCCAATTTCAAATCTATCTACACCTGTGTGTTATCTTCCACTTGACTTAACATGAAGTTTGAAGATGCCTTTCCTGCAAGGTAACCGATTAATTGCCCTTATGAGAAGTCACCCTCAATTGTTGAGAGGTTTAGTTGCTGAAATAAAGTGGAAAAATAAAGAGATTAACGGACAAGGTTAACGCACGTGTGTAGATAGATTTGAGATTGGCGTGCATCAAAGTGTGCACAACCAACTTCCAATCATTTAACGTTACAAGAAAAATCATGAAATTTGGAGTTTTTCGAGATTTTTTTCACTCGCTTCGACTTAACCAATTGGGAGGAACCGGAATACACTAAACAAATTGCATTTTCATTAATTCATTGTATTTTTTCTGGAAAAAACTACGTCCAAATTATTTTTTTTATAAATTTTTTAAATTGCCCTTTTCAGTCATTTTTCAACACTCCAACATTTTTTTTCTACAAAAACTAGACGTTCTGGAAAAATTTTCCAAAAGAAATTTGAAATCAGCATCAAAGTATCTATAAAATGGTGTCAGTATCGTTTTTGTGCTCAACGACGTCCGAATTTTATCGAACCGTGTTATTATTATGAGCTCTCGAATGCATGCCCCAGGAGCTACTTTCAAATCTTTTCCACTTAAGGGAAAGATTTCATTATAAGACAATTATCTTATAATGATGCAGAATTTTTCACTCAGTAGTGAAGTATTCAAGTGTAAAATTAATTTACCTAGGAGAATCGATTAATCCATAATGCAAGGGTGTTTCAGTAGAGATAGAATGACCTCAATAAGATTTTGGTTATTTGAATATTTCTTTCGGGAATGAAGATTTTAAGAAAAAAATATGAAAGATTTTTTGATCAACTCTTTAGTGTAACAGTAAAACAATTCTAGCCGATTTTGACTATTGATCAGTTTTCAATGAATATCTTGGAATCTAGTTAGGGAAGGCAGATAGTAAAATTTTTCTTATAACCTTTTTGGAAGAGTGAATTGAGAACTACGAAAATTAATCCATCTCCCTTAGGTTGGGAGATATTCTTCAAAAACTCAGCTAAGAGCCAAGTCCACTTAAACCTTTTCACCGCTTTATTACTGAACTTATAGTGAGGATCATCCTGGTTTTGCTCCTTCCTACTCTAAAATCCTATCAGACAATATCCTGTGACGTCACAGATGTGAAACGCTATAGAAAATCACGACTTTACTGATTTTTTTTGTGCTTCGGAAGATTTCCTACAAAAAAATCTCTCGACAATTCCCATAAAAATCACTCATTATTTATGTGACTCCATTTTTATCAAGATAAATGTACTTGCCATGTTTCGTTTTACAATTTAGAAATCTCTCTGGGTCAAAAAAGTTCAGTTAATCGTGAATGAACATCATTACATATGGAAAAATTTTCGCTAGTGAATTGCCCTAATTTGGAAATTCGAAATTCTCATCATGAGACTCCCATTCGACACCAATAAAAAACAACAAAGATCAGTCATTGGTTATTTTAGTAATACAATTCTTTATTTGCCTTATAAATAAGCGTTTGTGTGACATTTTCACAAGTCACACCAGATTGTGGTGTTTTTGTAATGAAAAACGATTAAAAATTTTGTAAACGTGAATGAAGCGATTTGTAGAAAAAACGAAAATTGATCTTATAAATTAGTAATCTGAGGGATCAGCCGGTGAACGAATGTCATCGATCTTGAGGATCATTTTGACGAGCTGAGTGGCGAGGAGAATCTGTTGAGTTTTACTCTTGAGGGATTCAATGACATTCTGAACCTTCATGTCGCAGGTGCCACGGTTCATGCAGTCAATGCCAAGGGCTGAGTTCTTTTCAGAGAGCTGAAGGGCCTTGGCCTCGGCCAGAGCATCGACTGAGGAGAGACCGGCATTCTCAGCGAGTGCCATGGGGATGGCGTCGAGCGCTTCGGCGAATGCACGGAAGGCGTATTGCTCCAGGGAGCTGATGCTATCTGCCTGTGCTGCACAAGCAATTGCGCAGGAAATTTCAGATGCACCACCACCGTAGACGATCCTCTCGTCGGTGACCAGATTGCGGACTGCGCAGAGGGCATCGTGGAGGGATCTCTTTGCCTCTTCGACGATCTGTAATGAATGATTATTGAGTGATTAGGAGAAATACAAAGTGACCGTAATTTTTGAGATCGTGTCATATGACCAAACAAGTAGGGGGCAGCGAGCATATGATGGTGAGCATGTCACTGAGTGATATTTTAATGCTTCCCTCGTCATCACTAAATTTATGGTATGCTTCCGAATGGTTTCAGCATAATAATGTTTTATTTTCACTTTCAGATATTTCATCCCATTTTTGTAATTAGTGTCTTTCTCACCCTCCTCCAAACTCTGCAACCTTCTGTATCGCATTTGATTTGGTTTTTTAAAGGTTTGCGAAAAACCTAAGGGGAGAAACCTGACCAGATAAAGTCGTTCCTTCCAAGACTCCTAAATTAATTTCAAATCCTTATTTGTTTATAGTGACTCTTGATTCCAATTTTTAGTTATTTGTTCATGATGGTCGTTCACTTTTTTTAAATTTCATTTTTTGTTCACTTTTTTATGCGAATTTTTTCACTTTATCCTAACAGTTGCAATATTGCGGGTATTTTTCCTACGTCAAATGGGTATGCACGGCGAAAGAAATACCAGAAAAATCACTGTGTTAGGATGGCAAAATGGATTCATGTTGACGGACCCGAAAAATTTCACGTGCGAGCCCCGAAATTTTTGCCGTGCTTCAAGTATTTTTCTCGGATTTACCGCGAAAGATTATTGTATTCCGAATGCTGGCACGTAAATTTTTTCTGGTTCGTCAAAATCAAATCATTTTACCGTCCTAGCAGAGTAATTTTTCTCGTATTTTTTCTGCGTATGAGTGCGTATTTGTTATGGTATTAATACGAAACATTCTGGTGCAACGAGGAAACTGCATGCCAAATTTCAAGTTAATACCTATAATCTGACAAAATTTCTGATTTTTTGAAATCATTTTAGTCCTTTAATTATTCAATTTTCTAAAAGTTGACCACCAGGTGGACACCCGGACATACACACAAGATGGACAAACTTGGTATTTTTACGTTTTAGACCATTCTACATCATTTCCAAGCGAAATTAGAGAATCTAAAAATAGAACGATTCCAATGCTTCCATTCGGAAGCAAAAATGACTATTGTGCCACGCCACAAGTCATGGTCACATCCCATCTTCTAATTTACAAGTTTTCGAGTTTGGGAAGTATACAATACGAATTCCCAGACGAGGAATCGTGAAAAGCATTATAGAAAGATTATTTGTAAGAAAATTATTGTCACGAGTAAATAAAAATAGTTTTATCTATATACATGAGATTTTCCATTTTTCGAAGGCTAAATTGGAAAAACTTCTTACTCCTAAACCATACACGGCTATCTATGCAAATTCAATAAGCTATTTAAAATTGAAAGACGAGAGAGATAAATTTCATTGGAACACCTTAGGAAGTTAAAATTAGAGTCATGAAAAGGCTTCCATAAAAGTTTCGTTACCTCTGTTGGATTAGAAAATATCTGAAAACTCACTTTAAATGAAAATTTATCATCTACTTTTATAGCTTCGTTAATGACTTAATAAGATGATGTTTTTTTTAAGTTATGGGACATTTTTTTGTTGTTCAATTCAACTCTTTCTATTTCTTAAAAACAGTAGATTCGTTATGGTTCATGATTTAGGATTTTTTCCAGTGTTTCTGGAAAGACTGTAGCAGTAAAAGTTCTCGATTTTGATCCTGATGATTGAATCAAATTGGAATAAACAATTATCGCGTTAATTTTGCATGGTGTCTGACCAGAACAAACATTGACATTTTGTCCTGGAATTCTCCTTGCAGTAAACCAATTTTCAGTCTATTTTTATTGTAGAACTAGGGGGCCCCCTACTCGCTCCGCTCGCCAACCCCCATATAACCCCCTTTACTTTAGGACTTTAAGGCCCGGGTGTACTATCTTTCGAATGTTATCTGGATTTTTTTTATCTTTCGTAATCCAAAATTGTCAATTCAGTGTTACACCATGTAGAAATTCCCAAAAATTATGATAGAATGTTAAAAAAAAAAAAAAATTCTGAACTTTTTCAAAGAGCGTTTTTAATTGAGATTCAGAATGAGTTGAAAAAAGTGAAAATTACAAATATGTGATTCGCTGTTACAAATTATCTATTAGCCGCCATTTTCCATGGTGGCTAACAAAACACTAACTCTTCATGGGAAGTGACAGTTAAGAATTTTTTCTACTTTTTTTGGATTATTTATTCATAATTTTTCAAAACTTCTGCATGATGCAGGACTTAATTGCCAATTTCAGATGACGAAAGATGACAAAAAACGTCGAGGTAACGTTCGAAAGATAGTACACCCGGGCCTTAAGTCTGACCCTTATTTTAACCTCTATGACCCTTATTCTTATCCTTAATTTTGGAATCTTAATTTCGAGTACCAAATTTTCATCACCAGAAGCCGATTTGGATTTTGATAATATAGAGAGATACAAATTATTTTTGTCATTCCGGCCTTGAGGCAGCGCTTCACGGACGCTCCGCGTCCGTGAATCTCTCCCTACGGCCGTCATAACAAAAAATACTGTTCGTCATACGGCCAAAAAAAACTTTTCTAGCTCATATAATTGCAGCCCTCGCCTTCGGCTCGGGCTGCAAACTCATATTCGCCAGAAAAGTTTCTTTCGGCCTAGTGACGAAATATACTATTACCATTTGATTTCCACCTCGGATGAAGATCGTTACAGCTCTCGAGTTCTTGCAGTCTTCAATGAGCAACATTTTGTCCTTGGTGGTACCGAATGACATCTCCCTGACGACACCAGCGTATCCAAGTTTGTCTGGGGTCAACTCCTCAAACCTGGGGACGATTCTGCCACCGGTGGCAATGGCGATGAGCTAAAACTCCCACGAATTTCGATTAGTCCAATATAACATCATAAATGTAATTTTAAATAATCAAAAATGAGTTTGAATGTATTTAGAGCCCTCGGATCTCATAATCTTTGGATCACTGGAGCCACTACGAGTGCTGAATCTTTGAATCCGAGATTTAAAAATTTTACTTTGTATTCACGCCCTGAGAATTCCACTGGGGATTCCAGAGGGAGATCGTAGTTTGTAAATAGTGAAATCAGGGGTCCAGAGCGGCCAGCATCGCCCTCCTCTATCGCAAAATTTTCATCATTGGGCAATCGTTCATCATTATTGTAATTGACTGAATAAAGTGACTTGTTGGTACATTAATCCTTTCATTAAATCAAATGATGAATACAGAAATTGGTTGAAAAATATTAGACACGCATTATTTTTATTTCGGAAAATCATGAAAATCATGAAAAATCCAGAAATTACAGAAAATCAAAGAAATGTATGCAGACATTTTCATTCGCCCATATATTAATGATTTTTCATTATTTATCCAAATAAAAAATAGGTATCCAATACTTTTCATTAAGTTTTGATGGTCAGCACTAAAAAAAATAATGCAAAACCCCAATTATTTATTCATTTGATGCGAGTGATTCTTGAAATTTATGTCAGAGATTTTCTTCACAGCTCCATAAATTGCAATAGGAAATTCTCCTGACATTTTTTTCTCACATCATTAATTGTCCGAATCAATGAATATTTAATCAAATGTTCAAAAATTGACAGCAAATGAGCTTTTTTACCTCGATTTCAGGGCCACCGACCCACCTAACAGCCGGGAGTTGCTTCTGAAGAAGAAGATGATTAGCCTCATCATCAAAGCCCCACTGGCAAATGGCTAATGTCGCTCCAGCAGCCTTGACCTTGTCCACCATCTCGGTGAATTTTTCCTTCTCGTATTCTCGAAGCTTTCTGTAGTCCTCGACCGAAGTGACATCAAGCTTATGCTTGGTCTTGGGCTTCGGTGGCTCGAATGGACAAGTCAAGATGGCCAATTTGACATCTTGCAGTCTCTGAATCGAAATAACCAACCATTAGTACTGCTGTAATAATTTATAAAGAAAAAACAAAACGCTCGAATAATTTTTTTCAGAGAACTGTAGCAGCAAAAGTTCTTGCGCTTGATCCTGATCGAATCAAATTGGATAAACAATTATTGCGTTTGTCTAGCAAGGTGTCTGAGCAGGAAGAACATTGACATTTCTTCCTGGAATTCTCCTTGCAACTGTAGATTTGCATTTGTCAGATAAAGAATTATTGATGTGGAAGTTCGGGGATGTGAAAGATATGTTTCATCTGTCATTCTTTACCGATCCAGTACTGAATTGATTGAGCAGTGTAATTAATAATCACCTTGGGCATCTGGGGGTGACTGAAGTCCTTGTCCACAACCACTCCACGAACGAGAACAGTATCTTCCAGTCTTCCACCAACCTTGCCTTCAAGTTTTATCAACTCGAAGTTGACGTCTCGTTTCTCGAGGTCTGCCACTGCTATCACGGCATTTACGGCGATTTCTGCCATTTGTCTGTGGCATTTATTGATGCTGAAATGATGAAAGTATCACAATCAATCCATGATTACTTAAATCATGTACTTTTAGGACCAATTGCGCCCAGCCCTGTTAGGCAAATAAATCGTCAGAATAAATTTATGTTTTCATTAAATTTATTCCACAGTTGGAGCAATTTTGGATTTTGTCGTAAAATACTTTCAGCCAGCCATTCGGTTACGATTATCGACTAAATACTTCATAATTCATGGTATTATTGGCAACTAGTGATGATATATCGATACACAACGTTTTTTGGTGAAATACTTTCGATGAACTTTCGGTGAAAATTGATCGAAAGATTATTGTTATTTATTCCGATACTTAAATGAAGATTTTCTTAACTCGGCTTGGTGCAACCGGACCTCAAAGGATTATGTCATCAGTTAAGAACCAAAATCGAATAAGGTGAACATTTTTGTTTGTGATGCGATCATCCTCATTCAATAACTCATTATTGAGATAATTTCACACCTAATAACATGGAAAACCACTGACTACACAATAATTCAAATATTCAATTGTTTCTAATTGCCCATTAACCCTGGACCAAATAAATTCAGCATTGTCGAGACCTTTCTGTAGCTCAGGATACTATGTATAAAAATTATAACATTATAAATTTGATTTTGACTAATCAAAAATCGGTTTAAAGGTTTTTAGAGCCCTCGGATCTCATAATCTTTGGATCACTGGAGCCACTGCGAGTACTGAATCTCTGAAGCCAAGATTTAGAAACTTTATTTTGTATTCACGCCCCGAGAATTCCGCTGGGGATTTCAGGGGGAGATTATACTTTGCAGATAGTAAAATCAGAGGTCCAGCGCATCCAGCACCGCCCTCCTCTATCGCAAAACTTTCGTCATTGGGCAGTCCTTCATCGTGATTGAAATGACTTGAATAAAATCATAAACGAAATTCCACTATTTTTGTTGACCTGTTGGACGAGGCCTTTTACAAAATGGAATAATGGATACAAAATAATTATTTCTTCGATGAGGTAACAAAATATAATATAATAAGTTAAATGGAACATCTTTATTTATGATGCAATTATCCTCATTGAGATAATTTCTGGTCGAATAATATGAAAAAAGTTATAGGTGACACAATAGTTCAAATATCAATTTTTTTCAAGTGGTGCATTGAGTCTGGGATCAAATGAATTTAATTTCATAAGTCACGATACTTTGTAAAAAAATCTCTGGACATTTTCTGGCCAATCTTTTTGTTTTAGAAATAGATGAACAATATTGTTGTAGATACAACTTTTACTTTTTTACCTGTACATTTCTATGTTATTACATCTAAAACTATCGTGATAATGAATGACTTCAAAGGAAAATGTAGAAAATGTCCACTACTTTACATAAACAATACAAGAAAAATTGATATATGAATTGTTATGTGACAAATGATTTTGCCATACTATCGGATATAAAATTATCCCGATAATGAAAGATTCCAGAGGAAAATGTTGAGAATGTCTTCAGCTGAATACGAATTTTCTCGACAGTATCGGCTAAAATGACTCATCATTAGGCTTGCATTCGTTAAGAGATCTTTTGGTAGGGTAAACAGGTCAATTTCTGGACGGGGGTTAGTTTCTGGACGATTTTAACTTGCATTGAATATTTCATAAAATGAGAACTGTACTGATTATTTCATCTTTCAATAATATTACTCGTGTATAATCATATGATCAATTATTTTTTCTATTGATCGATATTTAATAAATAAAAAAATATATGGCCCAGTTGTCCAGAAATTAGGGTTTCGGCTGCATTCAACTATTTCTTGATTCAATTGTTCTTTGTTTTGATATTTCCACTTTAAATAATTTTTTTCTGCTAATTAAAACATTCTTGAAGGTATGGAAGCCATCATATCCATTTAGGTAATACCAATGAAACTCAAATTTCCCTTAACCACCCAGCAATTGGCCTGTTCACCCTGGCTTAATCTAATAAACAAAATCTCAAGAACTTTCCCTCTGAAATTATTCCGTCAGGGGATAAAATCATAATTAAAGGAATGAGATCAGTGAATTAAAGTTATGATGTGGTTCAATTACATTTTAGACCCAAGAGTAGTCATAGCCGTCTTGATGAGGGGCTCCAAATCATCAGGATTCACTGGAAAAGATTCAGCGATGGTGCTCAAGTGCTTAACGGCACATTGCGCCGCTAATTCGTATCCATCAGCGATTCTAATGGGGTGGATGCCTTTGTCCAGCAGCGATTCAGCCTGTTCCAGCAGAGCTCCAGCCAGGACCACGACCCCAGTGGTTCCATCCCCAATTTCATCGTCCTGAGACTGCGAGAGCTGAACCATGAGTTTAGCTATCTCGTGGTCGACGTCCATTTTCTTGAGGATCGTCGCTCCATCGTTGGTGACTGTTATGTCACCATCGGGACTGACCATCAATTTATCGAGACCCTTTGGACCGAGGGAGGTTCGCAGGGTACTGGCGATGCTGCGAGCGGCATAAATGTGAGACTGGAGGATGAAAAATTGAGAAGAATCCGGTTAATTCTATAATTCGATGGTGAAATGTCATATGTTAAATGTGGTATTTTGAGGATTACGGATTTTGATCGGCAACCACGACTTTCAGGGGAAAATGCAAATAGCGTTTTTTACTGAAGAAAGTTTCGTAAAAAAAAGGCGTCTTGACATGTTCTCTAAAAAAATCACAATTTGGGAATTATGTTAAATGAAAAAGCTTCCACTTTCACTATTGATGTACTTGGGGAGAATGAAAGAATGAACATTTCCTTGAAACAAGTAGGAAATTGCTCTTGTATTGTATATAGTATAGGCATTTTTGCTAATAAATTCGCAATATTCTTCCGAATAGTTATTTTGCGCTCCATTTCCTTTTATCATGTATAATTCATTTATTTCATTTTATTACATTGTATAAGATTTCCTGTTAACTAATTTTCTCAGATTTTCAACTTAGTTGACTGTTATCAGCATCATTATTCTTATTATCCCTTTCTTCTATACAACCGATTGTCTTTTGTACAGTTCTATCTCTGCTGTCAGTTCTTCGATAAAATGTTAATAGAAAAATTTCATTTACACATACTTAAATGAGTTTGAAACATCACTTTTGAAGAAACCATCAGAAAGTTCACTTCAGGGAAATTCATGAAAAATTCAAAATATTCAACAATCATCATAAAAAACAAATCAACCAATGTCGCTATCGTAATCATCTTTTAACTTCGACTTAATGGCATTGAAACAACCATTTTAAGCTATGATTGCATTCATTCGAAGCATGATATTCAACGACATCCCCGGAATTCTGATTTTCAAAAAATACGAAATTTTTGAACATTTTCGAATAAATCAAACTAACGATTATTGCTATCGCCTTCATCTTCGAACTTGGTCAAAGGGACATCCAAACAAATTTTTTAAGCCATCATTCAATCAATTCAGAACATTTTCTTAAGTTATCGTGCGACAACTGATTTTCGAAAACATTCCAAAATTAAAAAAGTCAATCGATGAATTAAATTTTAATTAATGGCGATCGATAGGGCTGAACAATAACTACCATTGAAAAAAAAGACAGATTAAATTCTAAAAATTGAATTTTCGGACTTTTTGGATCATAATGGGTCGATATAGGGGAGAGTGGGGCAAAATGAAACGTGGGGTAAAATGAAAGTCGAAAAACGATTGTTTGGCACAATTCAAGCAAAAAAATTTTTTTTTTCAATTTTTTGTTCATTAACTTTTTTAAATTCTTGGGAGTACTGATGAGAATAATAAGTTTTCATTCTGTAATGTTTTCATTCGCTGTTTCTTTTTGCCCCGTTGTTTCATTTTGCCTCACTCTCCCCTAACACAAAAAATCTCAAACTTAAATTTGAACGATTCCATTCTGAAGCAAAAATAATATTTTTCGTCACTGTGGTGAAGAAAATTTGTTTTCGACACGGTGACGAAGTACATTTATTGTCACGACGTTCGTGAGCGGCTTTTTATCACGCGTAGTGTGCGTGGAGCGAGCCTTCGCAAACTGGGTGACAAAAAGTGATTTTTTAAAGAAAATGTCAAGAGACTTTGTCAGAGTCATTTTGAGAAAATAACGACAATATAAAAAATCCTACAATGACAGTCTTTTTACTATTTTTCCTGGAATCACTCAGTATGGAAATAATTTTGTCTCAAGCAAGATAGAAGAAAACGGTTGGGAAATCTACATTGTATTCCATGAAATTTTCTCCTGAAACCACTGCATCTGGAAATAATTTTATATTAAACCGAAGTCAGAATCTCCAGTGATGAATTAAAAAATCAGAAAGATTTCTTTGTAGATATTTTAATGTCACATTGAACTGGCTTCTTTGGATAATTAGAGGTTGTTTTTGAACATTTTGGAGCCCTCGGATCTCATAATCTTTGAATCATAGGACCCACTACGAGTACCGAATCTCCAAACCCATGAATTATTAAATGAACATAGTATTCATGCCCTGCGGATTACCGTACAGATTCCTCAAGGAGATTATACTTTGCAAAAAATAAAATCAGGGGTCCTAAGCCCTCAGCATCGCCGTCCTCTATTGCAAGATTTTCGTCATTGGGCAATTGTTCAATTCAAATTTAATGGATGAATAGAATCCATTAATAATAATTAATAATAATAAATTATTGAAACTTCGAAATTTATTCACCTACGAAGTCTCGAATATCTTTGGAGCAACGAAAGAGTATTTGTCGTAAATCCTCACAAACCCCTCCATTTGAAGATATTTCCAAAAATAATTTGCATGAAATTTTTGACCCATCTTCTGTTACCACTCACAACCGCAGAAAATTGAATAAAATTAGATAAGAAATTTTTTAATCAATTCGAGAGTTACTATAGATTCATATCTATATAAAAGTATTTTTTTTCCAATGTTCATAATTCAGAAACACATACATCAGTTGAGCTCAGTTTAGGCTCATCACAGAGGGAAAAAAATTGTACTTCTGATGAAAAAAATGATCTGATTTCAGTAATAATTCAACATGTAATTCTTTTCAACATTTCAAGTATCCATTTTACTCCACTTGCCTCTGAGAAACAGTAATCAATAATGAACAGAAGAAAAAAAATGTACAGAAGTTTCTGGAGAGATCTGTAAAATGAGTGGGAGAGGTTGTAGATTTCCTTTTATGGACACAATGCCATTCGTTCAAGCACTGTCCCAAGACAATTCCCATTAAACTCCACACTCTCAAAACGCGCATCAAATAAATCCTTCAAACTAATAATAATTAATTCTGAAAAAAAAATAAAAAAATCTCTCGAAATGCTTCTCGAATCCGTAAATTAGTGAATTCACAATATCAACGGAGAATAAAAAGAGAAAATTTCTGGATTTTTGGAGTACAATGGCGGCCATGACTCGTCATCACGTGGCGACAACAAATAATTACGTTTATCCACCAACTCAACAAGAAATCGTTAGATTTTTCTTGAAAAATGTATCACATATTAAATAAACAATACTGAAAAATCCCTAACAAACTGGATTAATCCCCAATATCAACTATATTTTTTCTGGGATGGCTCACCTTTATTGCATCGTTGCCGGTGAGCCTTTTCTGCTTGTCCTGGTCCCTGAGGATGATGAACGGCCTGCCGTACTCGTCGAACGCAATTGACCCCGGGATGGCGTTCATTTCGCCAATTTACAAATTGCAAAAATTTCAAACGATCTTCAATTTATTCAAGAAAATATGAATTCAAGTGGCACGACTCACGGGCTGCGCCTATCAAACCACCATTTTGTCCCAACGGAACGAGAGTGGTCGGGGGCATATTTCGTCAGCAGTCAACGTAGCGATTCTCGATTTTTTGAATCGATATTTTTAGGTCAATATATTGTGTGAATCGATATTTTTCCTCGAAATCGATATCGTTCTGTCCAACCCTGGTAAAACAGTCCGATTATTTCCGACTGGGTGATAAAAAATGAATTAATGATGTTTCTGTCTTTACCCGTTAAATTCCGATTGGCTGGTAGGTAGAGTTTGGAGTTATAAATATTTAAATGTGCAATATATATTAAATATTTATCGAGATACGTGATAGCGTATCGGCCAAGAAAAGTTTTGACCGACTGAGCAAAACATCAGGCCGAACGCACATACACGAGGCAACTGTTATGTCCTCCCAGATGTCACTAGGAAAACAGCGCCAAGTTTTGAATCGGCGAAAAAAAGGAAGGCAGGGACGTTTTACAGCTGAAGCCCGGATGGGCAATCCAAAGAGTCCAATTAATAATCCAAAGAATAATTGATGAATCCTCATTCGTGGAAAAATTGGGATAAGGAAATATTTGATATTGAATGAAAAATACTGAGTGCTTCGGGAGAGCACGTAAACTATTTATTTAACTATCAAAACTGTATTAACTTTCACTAGACATTGATTTATATTTTGGAGATCTGCACTCTAAAACCGGACTCGTCGAACTGACTTAACTTATTCAAAACGTCCCTTTCGTGGGTCCTATAACTCCCACTCTTTNAATGATTAATAAACACGGGTAGACTGCCGTGCCTGCACGGGAAATCTCGTAGTCCAACATATTCATCAATTTTGCTTATGAGACTCGGAAAAAAGGAGTCAATAAACAAAAATAGATTCCCGTGCCGACACGGGGAACCTCCAATATAGTCATACATCCTGTCTATGAGATGCAGGGGGGGGGNTCTTTTGCTAGCCACCCCCATCCACGTTCTAGAATTTGGGACGCACGTGTGACCGGCAGAAAATGACGTTCTTGGGTTTAATACAAAGGATACAAAGGGAGATCTGTTGGGATTAGTCATGGACCTTTCTCGAGAAGTTTACGTCTGAATTTTATGTGTTTATGGCGACGCCAGAAAATCAACAGGCCTGCAATATTTATATTAACTCGGTTTATTTCTTTCGTTTATTTAAACTGTTTATGTTATTTCTCGGATGAATAGAGCTCTGTATTTGAGAGTTGAAATGAGACGTCATTGTCCACCAAAAGAACACGTGCCCAAACTACGCAGTATTGAATTTAATGAAAGAATGGAAATTAAATTATTANATACACGAGGCAACTGTTATGTCCTCCCAGATGTCACTAGGAAAACAGCGCCAAGTTTTGANGGCACGGGAAACCTCGTAGTCCAACATACTCTTCAATTTTGCTTATGAGACTTGAGAAAAAGGAGTCAATAAACAAAGATACATTTCGGTGGCGACACGAGGAAACTCCAATATATTCATACATCCTGTCTCTGAGATGCAGAGGGGGGGGGNGACGTTTTACAGCTGAAGCCCGGATGGGCAATCCAAAGAGTCCAATTAATAATCCAAAGAATAATTGATGAATCCTCATTCGTGGAAAAATTGGGATAAGGAAATATTTGATATTGAATGAAAAATACTGAGTGCTTCGGGAGAGCACGTAAACTATTTATTTAACTATCAAAANTGAGGAATATTATAATAATAAATAAAATGAATCGAAACTAAAAATTTGAAACTGTATAATATTATTTTTTTATATTATTATTACTATTATTTATCTATTGTTTTTGTATCCAACTATTTGTTAATGAATATAACGTGACGGACGCCGTGATTATGCTTCTAGGATGACTGATAACAAAATAGTTGATCTTAATTCAAATCTTATTTTTTTAAAATAGTGACATAAATAAGGAATCAATGAGTCCATTCGGTAATCAAATTANACTCTCTCTTTCTTATGTTTTAGTGATATCTTCAATGCTAGACTCAAAAAGTGGTGGGGAGGGGCTGGGCAACGTTGTGACGCAGTCA